AAAAACGGTTAAATAAAAAGCATTATTGATTGATAGAACCTGAAAGAGACTTATAAATTTTGTAATATTTAGTTTTAGACATGAAATGAAAGAGAAAATGGAGAGAACGCAATAGATAAAATATTAATTATTCATGAAAAGAGAAAATACTTATGCGTAGAGACTAAGAACAAAATAGTTATACATGGAAAAGAAAGTAAATAGCAAAATATTAACGATAGACGGAGACAGATTAAAAAAAAAAGAAGGGTCGTCAAAACTAACAGAAAATTTGAAAGAGAAAGAACATATAATGTGGTCGTCGGCAGCCGCTCAAATCTGGTCATCGGTATCGCCATCCTCACTCCATATTTCCTTTCTTCCTTCTGGTAGCGGTGATGGAGATCGTTGTGGTGGCCTAGCCTACTCCCGAAGTGTTGCGACAGGACTCACAAATAAAACGCTAAAACCATTAAGTTTGTACAAAGTGAGAAAGAGAGGTAGTAAAAGAACCAACGGATGGGAAGAGAAAGTTAAGAAAGAGAGAGGGGCAATGAAAAGTCTACGTGAGAGTTTTTTGAGATTCTATAAACGTCTGTTAACTGGGACATAAAATACCAAAAGTTTCGAAGAGATAGAATAAATTATTTAAGAAGAAAATGAAAGAGAGAGTTTGGTAAAGTATAAGAGCTAAAAGAATGGAAGCTGAAAGAGTGAGAAAGACGTAAACGAACGTATATATAAACGAACGTATATATAAACGAACGTATATATAATGATAGAAATCGGTTGTTAGTGAAAGAGGGCATTTTTGAGTTTCTAATAATGGCTGCTGATTGAGAATAAATGTCAAAAAGTTATTTCGAAACAAAATACGGAAGAAAGAATATAACAGAGAAAGATAAGCACATAACAAAACGTGGTAAGTATTTAGTAAAGACAGAAAGAAAACTACTGCCTGTAAGCCCGAGATATAGGGTTCTTTTGAGATTCTAATAACGGCCAGTGATAACATTTTCTATTGATCATACATTGATTTTTTTTTTTATATGTATGTTTTTTTTTATTTTTTATGCATAATCCCTATGATGTGGAAGAATTTGGACACTTCTCACAATAATTCCACAGGATCGAATATCTATTTTCATCTTACTTTATCGTTTTCCTTTTTTAGAATTGCTTTATTTATTTTGCCTATCCCACATTCCACTACTTGTGTAACCGCCAGTTTTTACAGCCACACACTCTCAAGTACAGTGAACGCTTGATTAATGTTTATATATCTTTCCAACGGCTTCGCTGACACTTTAAATCAAACACTGTGTTTTTCATATCTCTTAATAGATTAATAAGGTTGTCGTCTGAATGTCTCGCCCTAAAGGAATATTCGAATTGATAGACAGTTAATTATTACTATAGCAAGTATGGTTTCAGTCTGGATTATATTAAGCTATGTAATTCGCATTTCAGGATTTTCTAGTTTCATCCGTATTCCAATTGTAAGGAAGAAGATCCATTCATAATTATTCAAAGAACTACTCCTCTTTGGAAGAAACTACTACGTGGATGATTATGTTAACATTAGAATCTTAAGGCACTACTCTTCCATTTTCTGTGCCGTCTCCTTTCAGGACGTAGGCGATCATGGCTCTCCACTTCCCCCTATACCTTGTAGCTCTCAACTCCCCAAGACAACGTTCTTAAATCCGCCAGGTATATCATGAATTGCTACCCATGTTAAATGAGTGAATCTGGGTCTGCCCTTACTACAAATTACGTATTAAATAACAAGGCAGAAGGGTTTTCTGGTCTTGTGTTAGAGCTTATCTTGAAAAACTAACTTAATGTAAAATGTGGATGTGTTACTTGAGACATACATGCCCTCCAAAAAGAAATTAGAAATGATCCATCATCATCAAACATAGCTTTGATTTCCAAGTGTTATGATGGACTGCTGCGCTATCAATAAAGCTAATTGATCTAAACGTCTGTTAGGACTCAGATTCACATATATATATATATATATATATATATATATATATATATATATATATATATATATATGTATATATTATACTAGCGGTATGGCCCGGCGTTGCCCGTGCTTGATTCAAAAATCGTACGACTCATACAGCAATCGCTATGACTTGACTTAAAACATTTTTGCCTTTCCTTGCCTTTAAAGGAGTGCCCTTTGCCGTGCTGATGTTGCTATGTGCCTTACTTCTTGCCTATCCCACACTGCGAAGTTTTTCTAAGCTCTATACTAAACATTATATCTGTTACGAAAAACGGACTAAACAAAATGAACACAAAACGATCAGCTTTAAAAAAGGACTCGTAACTGGAAAAACGAATGAAAAAAGAATGTTAACAACAAATATATTTTCACACCCAACCCAGTTCTGTGGAATCAGAATCAACGTTGAGTTTAAGCAAGAGAATGAGCCAATTGGAGTAAAGTGCCATGCAGGTTTAAATTTTTCCCACTTGTGACGAATGCAGCTATCGATTTTTTTTGTCTGCTAGCATGCTAGTTAACATTCATGTCAGTCAGTTGTTGGCTCTCACGCTGGCCAATAGAATCTTTCTGCCTATTCGTGGCAGCCAGCTATAGGCTCTCACTCTGGCCAGTAGAAAATGGCTGCAAACTACATGAAAACTGCCGTAGAAGCATGAAAAATCTATTATTTCCACTATCGAGTTGGGAAATGCAAAGTCGGCCTTGGCCTTTCCGCTAACTTGGAGCATGTGCATGTAAATTTTGGTGCAAATCCGTCGAAAATTGCGGCTGTGCATTCATTACACACACACTCACATCCTGCCTTTTATAGATAGAGATATCAAGTGGAGCTTATATATTCCTTGTACCATTCCTGAAAATGTCTGATTCCTGCCATGCTCTATTTTTACAAGAGACAAATGAGACCAAATATGGAGTATTGCTGCCATATCTGGGCTGGAGTTGTTCACACTTCATTTTCCAAATTTCAAAGATTCAGAAGTATTTACGCGGCAAGATGAATTATTTTCCCAACGATGACACGTAACAATCCTTTCTTTACATTATCACTTTTCCAATGGCAAATCTTCCTTCAAAATAAATCCTTTATTTCCACCAGTTCAGACCTTTAGAGCTAGAAACCGCCATACAACCTATACAATCCAATCATCTTTATTCCTTAATATTCTTTGCTAAAAAGGAAGTTGCACTCACAGAATCTCTCTCCAAGAACAATTACTTGATGAATTCCCCTCCCACATTGATGCTTCCTTGAATGCTGAAACTTTTTTAATACAAAGACCAACAGTTATTTATCTTACATATCTACTCTTAGTTCCTCTTCTCATATACATACAAAAATCCCATCTAGTAACCCTATATCTTGTGTGATTGTATTGAGTGATTTAGTAAACTGAAAGAAAAAGGAAGCAAAATCGAAAATATTTTTCAAGAATACACGTCACTTGCATTATTTACGTTACTCGGACTGTTATCCTCATCTTCATTGCCATATTCACGCTCCAGATTTCTTCAGGTAATTGGAATTTTGAAACGAACCCGTTATTTTGTCCACCCGGAGGAGATTGTTCTAGTTCTACGTTATTTCCCTTTAATTCAACTCTGCAAGATTTTTTTTTGTTTCACCACTGCTAGTATTTAACACACAACTCTTTGGGTCTGGTCATGGGATCTAAACAATGTCTTCATCCACTGAGCCATGTGTCCTTTAGAACATCTATGTATGAATTTTTGGGACTTATAAACCTAATATCTCAGCTCCATTTTTTTACCAGTGCTCATATTGAATTATTTTTCTGTTATTATTATTATATTTTTTACCAGAACTTATATTGCATTTTTTTTGTTATTCATTGGTTTTCCCTAGCACTCCTTATTACTGGTTCCTATATTGTATTCATTTCTATACTTGGTCGGCTCAGGATATTTTTGTGGCCTAGCATATGTGCTGATTCCTAAAGTTTTCGTATTTTCCAGTGATGCACTCTGTCTATTATTTCAACCACAGGTGACAGTGATCCCTATTTTCCCTCCATATGTGGTCAGCTATGCCTGATTTTTCTATTTTCGCTCATGTTACCGTTTTATGATGTTCTTGAAGTCTTACCCTAAGGGGGCGGTCTGTTTTTAGTTATTTCTTACCACCGCTGCACTGGATGACGTACACACAGCTCTATGTGGGTACTCCAAAGAGATGTTTGCAAAGTGTTGAACAACTTTTGAAGATTGTCCTAATGTTACATGGAACGCAGATCTTTGTAATATGGAGAATTGGAATATGACCACTGGTAAAAAAAAATTGTTGCTGACAAATTGTTTATAAGTCCCAAAAAATCATATATGACGTAAACATGGCCCAGTGGTTAAAAAAGTTGGTTAGATTCAATGACTAAACCCAAAAAGTTGTGAGTTCAGTAGCAGGCCACAGCAGTGGTGTACCAAAAAATTTGCAGAGTTGAGTTAAAGATAAATATCTGAGACATCCGGAAGAGGCATGACACGTGGAACTAGAACAATCTACCCCGGTGGACCAAATAAAGGGTTCGTTTCGAAATTCCAGTCACTTGAAGGCCGGAGCGTACAAACGCCTAAACGTTGTGAATTTGGCAATGAAGATGATGATAACAGTCCGAGTAATGTAAATAATGCAAGTAATCATAATATCTCATATCAGAGATATAGACAAGAATACACATATATTAAAGGAATATATCATTGTACAGCTATGGCCTTAACGAGCCTAGTATTTAAAAATAATTAAGTCAGTGTGCTTTTCATTCAAGTTCTGTGCAACGAGAGTAGAAACATGGGTAGTGCAATTTTATCGGAGATTCGTTCATTGAATTATCATTGAAAGACTAAAGAATCCTTCGATCAGTTACCTCAGAGGAATGTAGAATTGATTGATTGATTTGTTTTTACGGCTTATCAACCCTTTGCGGGTTATTTAAAGCCAGGCAATAATCTTAGATTATCAGAACTTTCGGGGAATTATAATGATTTACTGATACACGTCCTACTAATTAAGCCATAGCTTCGGGAGTGGCGAAACACAAACATGCAGAGATGCACAAGGCGTTTATCTTTGGGTAAGATGAATTCACAAACGTTACGTGACAGTCGATGAGTGAGGGTCACAAATCCCAGTTGTTACGTAAACCAGGAAGAAAGGTAGGCATCATCACCTGGTCGCAAGAATGCAAATCACCGACCAGGTCGTTTCCCCTACGTGAAAATATTACAAGATCCTCTCGATTTTCGGCCGTTCACATTAGTTGTTGTATTCATATGTGTTATAATTACTTTGTGTGGGATAAATGGTGACAGGTTTGTGCATTAATTTATCTAATTGCTCGTCTGACTTAGCAGTATAGAAATCTCTTTGAGAACAATGCTTGTTTTTCTTTCCTTTCTTCCAGCCATCCTTCCATGGTTTTTGTGTATCACTGTCATATTTATATTATTTACATTATTCGGACTGTTATCCCCATCTTCATTGCCATATTCACAACGTTTCAGCCGTTGTACGCTCCGGCCTTCTTCAGGTGATTGGAATTTCGAAATGAATTCTTTATTTAATCCACCGGGGTACTCTTTTCTAGTTCCTCAAGCCATGTCTCTTTCAGATGTCTCAGATATTTCCCTTTAACTCAACTCTCCAAGGAGTTTGGTTCATCAGTGCTGTGGCCTGGTATTGAACTTACAACTCTTTGTGTCTAGTGTCTAGTGACCGTATCTAACCAACACCTTTATCCAATGGTCCATGTTTCCTTGAGGATAAAAGCGTAGGTTAGTGTGTGTGTGTGTGTGTGTGTGTGTGTGTGTGTGTGTGTGTGTGTGTGTGTGTGTGCGTGTGTGTGTGTGTGTGTGTGTGTGTGTGTGTGCCCAGTGGAGTAATGGTTAGCGGCTCGGATTGAAGAATATGAGAGCTGAGTTCGAAATTCCCGCCAATTTCGTTATATTGCCTTGGGAAGGTTATGATTCATACCTCCCCACAAGGTGGGGTGTATCACAAGGCCGTTTTTTAACGTTGGGTGATTCAGAACCACTAGGCTTGGGCAAAAATTGCCCGTAGACACCGTATAAACGAGGTCGGGTAGCTGTCTACCACCCCAGACGAGACTCTGCCCTTCGGCATAGCCTCATCTGAGTTCCTCTTTTCCCGGAGACAGAAAGGACGATAGGCAAACACAGGGGGTTTGCTATCTACCCAAGTTATAAATCCATCTCCACACCACCGGGTAGATATGGATTTAAAAGCAGGACAGACTAGGTCCAATTACAAGTCCGAATTCAAAACCTGAGGAACGTATTTGGAGACCTTATGACCAGTTGTATGTATTGGATTCTTCAAAAAGTACGATTGACGTCCTGGGTAAGACGTTAAACGACATCCGTGCCCTGGGTAAGACGTTAAACTACGTCCAGCAGCAAGGCCTCTGATCAGGAAGTTTTGAATAGTGTGGAACCGCCTCTTAATTGCTGGTGTTCCCAGGTCCACCCTGACACGGGGTGGTAGAACCTGTTAGGGTCCAAGCTATGGGCAAATAGTTAACAATTACCAGCAATCTTTTTTTTTTTTTAAAAAAAAAATATTACCAGCAATAAAATTTTGAAGGAAATATATTTACCAGCAACAGATTTATGACAAAACAAAATATAACAGCAATAAAATTTTTTGTCAGCATTAAATAACCCTATTGAGGTTGATACGCCGTAAAACAAAATAAACCAAACCAATCAAAACCAAAGAATACATACACTATTCATACGAATCTATCCTGAGAATGTTGTCGGCATTAAATAGCCCATTGAGGTTGATATGCCGTAAAACAAAATAAATCAAACCAAACCAAAAAGTACGATTGGTTTTGCACAAGCCGTTATTATTATAATCAAATTATGTCAGCATAGAACTAGTTGTTCTGTTTTAAGAACTGCGTTTCTGTACATTCATAGGTTGAAAACGAAGAGAGAGTCTAGTGTGTGTGTGTGTGTGTATGTGTGACGTGTGCATGTTTGCAAACGCCAGAACATCATTACTCACAGAAAGAAATCATTCATTTCTTGTTAGGCGGAATCTTTTTGACAACTCCCTCAAAAGATGGCTAAATTTGTCATATCTCTGCAAGCGAATGTAAGATCAATGAAGAACGGTTTATACTGGGACTTTGTTGCTTTTTCATTTCGCTAATTATAGAATATATTGAATATGAAAAACTTTTCTTTACCCGTACGTATGAGTGATTTTAGTTCTGATATGTCTCCCCTTTTCCATCGTAAATATTGTACCCGCTTTGATAGTTGCAGGCATTTTCTCTTTGGCCGCTTAATCTCTTCAAAGACTTTGACGATTTTAGCATCAAAATTAATTTAAGCCTTTTAATCCTTTCAAAGTGAAAGAGACTATTTTATGTGCTTAAATATTTTGTAAATTTAATAATGAACTCCATATATATATATATATATGTATAATTTGAAATTATACGAAAATAATTTATATATGCATGGAGTTATATATGATTATCATTTACAAAATATTTACATTATAAAATCTTTTTTTTTTGAAAGGATTAAAATTTTAAATATATATATATATATATATATATATATATATATATATATATATATATATGTGTGTGTGTGTGTGTGTGTGTGTGTGTGTGAGAGAGAGAGAGGAGAGAAAGTTAACAGGATATTTAATGAAATTTGAGGAAAAAATCCAACAAAAGAAGAACAATATTCACTATAATAGTGATGATATTTGTATTTTAGACTTTTAGAACAAACTGAAGCAAAAAATTGTTTTAAAGTCTGAATATAAAAGCACTCTTTTTAAAACGTGTGCTTTTAGTGTCTTCATTTAACAGCCGATGGGGAAGACGCAGATCGGTTTTAAAAAATATTTTAAATATAAAATCATGCATTAAAAGGTTAAGGAGGGATTTGGGTTTACTCAGAGAATATAGTTTCTAGAGGGAGCTTTCCAACCAACGATAACAACATTCCTCAGAAAAATGAGAACCACTTTTTTGTCTGTTCCTCGTCTCGTTGGTAAAGACTCGGGCCTGTCCGAAAATTCAGGCTTAAAATCTTTCTTTTCGTGCTTCAATTCAGTCAAAAGTCTAATATATAATAAATATAACCAAACTTATTGCCAATATTATTATCATTATGTTATCTTTTTATTCCTCAATATTTTTTAATAAAAATGACAATAGGGAAACTAGTAATTGTTGACGCGTTTTCTCCAATGTGGACTTTATCAAAGCTAAATACGAAATGAATTTAATTGAACAAGGTAACTAAGAAAAACTAAAAAAACGCATTATTCCTAGCAACTGGAATGTAGGGAAACGCTATTTTCAGTTAACAATAAGAAAATAGCGTTTCTCTAGATAGATAGATAGATAGATAGATAGATAGATAGATAGAACGATAATCTTTCTCCCACAAGAATTATCACAGTATGATGTGATTTCATTATGAGACCACGTGAATATTTGCATATGCTATACTGCAACAATCTTTACTGTTCTATTGTTATATATTGCTGTCAGCGTCAAGGAATGTGTCCCGACTCGTTTTAAGGCAATGTTATATCATAACCTACCTACTAGGTGTATCAATGGGCGTATATTTCATACCATATATCCAGAATACCAAGAGATTTTGATATATCTATGTATCTGATTCCACTGAATCATATACAGATATATACGTATATATTGTGGAATATTATATAATATATATATATATATATATATATATATATATATATAATGAATGCAGATTCCTTAAAAGTTCATTAGGTCAGGTTATAATAATGATTCTGCATTCATTATTATGTCCCCCTTCAAATTATCATCGTGATATATATATATATATATATATATATATATATATATATATAGACACACACATATATATATATATATATATATATATATATATATATACACACAATCGCACACACATATAAATATATATAGGTTTGTTTGCATGTTACGAAAGGTTAGGACAGTTACAAACCAAGAAATGCTTCTTGAGGAAAAGATAATGAGAATTTTCTTCTTCCCAGAAGTCTAGGGTTCATTTCCTGTTTGCGCTGTTATGGTGTTGAAATGGCGCCGAAAACATTACGATAAAAAGATATCTGATAATAATCTGATATTAATAGATTGAAAATTAATAAGAATAAATAAAAATAGTAATTCTTATAATACTATTAATAATTTGGTACCGAATTCAAGTGACTCCTTGAAGGAAATAATTTAATCGTACCGGCATTTCTATTAAATGCACAAAAGTAATGCTTGTAGAAAAATAATGCTATATCTTTGTCTATCAATATTGAACGCTTTTAATCCGAGCGTCATTTTGGAGAAATTCAGAAGACACCATTTAATAATGATATTGAGTTCTCGTAAATACCTCAGTGCAATACGATTACTAAAAGTTATTGTTGATGTGTATATATAATTGAAGTCGCGACGTGTGAATATTTTTCATCATGCGCGCATGCGTCCTCGCCTTTACAAAATTACTGAAATCTTAATATGAAATCGTTTTTGTGGAATGTCGCATAGATTTTCTTTCCAGAAGTCTTATATTTTATGACTAGACTTAAAACCCCAGAGGAAGAATTGGTGTCCCTCGTTCAATAGATTCGTAACGGCAGAGAAGCATTGAAAGTGAGAAATCCATTTAAGGAACTTGATTATCCATTCGTGTGTTCACCTATAAAAAGATAAAATTCCAAATGCGTTCATGCCGAATACACGAATGAAACGGCTTCTTCATTATACATGTAGAGTGTATATAGAGAGATGTCGTTCTTTTATTATTCATACGTTCTTCCTAGCTTATCGCGTCCACCTCGTCGACACTGATTGAAAGCGCGGCTCTTTCCAGTCCAAATAAGAAGACGAAATTGAATATTCCTTACTTCACATGTAGATACTTTGCTAGATTATAAATGCGGAAGGTAAGAAAAGTAAAAGTGATAGCAAGTAAATCTCACATACCGCTGCTAATGTAAACTGATTACTCGCTAGATGCTTCTCTCCATATTCCTGTATCAAAATTCGATATTAGTTAACGGTGTTCTTACGGCGACCACTTGGGGCATATGGTCACTTTTGTAGGGGGTTAGCAATGACCTTTCAAAAGATGGACGTTTACTGAAATATCTTAGTTTCATTGACATTTGAGATGTTCAGAGTTCTAATTCCAGTCAAGTTCGTTATATTCACTTATGTGCAAATATCCTTGGGAACGGCATGAACCCATCTTTTAGCTCTCCCCAGCTAAGGATTAATTAGCACTTCTTGTATCAATAAGTCATTATTGTCTCCCATAAAATCCTTAGAATCTAAAAGTATTTTCTGGGTTTATCTATCAAGCAAAGAGTTGATATGCTGTAAAATTAAATCAATCAATCCAGAATTAAAAAGGTCGTCAGCAATTTTTGGTTGTTTTTCTCTTATTCTGCGAAACACAATATTTGTTATTGTTATATATATATATATATATATATATATATATATATATATATATATATATATATATATATAACATTGCTAGTGGTAGAGAACTTGCCAGACAAACCTGCGAGGTTTCACCCAAGCGGATCGTCAGGGAAGAGAACCAGCCTTCCACGACGATCCGCTTAGGTGTTCTTGGTTCTTTCATTTTTATATACCTTTTTACCTTTTGGTATTGGCTTGTTTATTTGCAAATCAAAACACCGAAGGTTTTCCGAGCGAGTACAGTTTCTTATACTTATAAAATTTCTATTAATAATATAAAGAGAGAAAGTTTACAACGTGTATAATGTGTTCACTTCAATATAAGCTTAGGAAATACCTACATAAATAATACCTACATAAATATTACCTACATAAATACCTACATAAATGATACTGAAATAAATACCTAGATAAATAATACCTAGATAAGTACCTACATAAATATTACCTACATAAAATATACTGACATAAATACCTAGATAAATAATACCTATATAAATACCTACATAAATATTACCTACATAAATACCTATATAAATGACACTGACATAAATACCTAGATAAATAATACCTATATAAATAATTTCATAAATATTACCTACATAAATACCTATATAAATGACACTGACATAAATACCTAGATAAATAATACCTATATAAATACCTACATAAATATTACCTACATGAATTATACCTACATAAATAATACCTATATAAATAATACATAGGTAAAGAATGGTCTGTTCTGTTTTTAAACCCACCAGTCATATGAATTATCATGCTAGCAAAGTGTTAAGAGAAATAAAAAAAGAAACAAAAAAAAACCCCTAAACACAATGTCTGGAGAATTCCAGCAAATTGATGCAAATTAAAGTACTAAACGCCTGCATTGATTGACGTTAGAAATAATGGCTAAAAACAGCTAAGATCGTCTGAAAGCTGCCCCATCAATGCGGATTGAGCAAAAGAAATTCATGAGTTTTCTGCTTTCGGAGAACCAATTGAACCTGCCGTCAGCAAAGTGAACTGGTTTTATGTAGCGTGTGCTTAATGAAGGTTCAGAAGATAAGAATGGCTTTTATGCAAATTCATCACTGCGAAAGACATTTATGCAACGTTGTAGTATATTTGGAAATCGGCAGGTGAATCAACGCAAGGTGCATAGAAGTGCTTTCATGTTGAAAATGGCCTAAGGTCAAGTGATTCTTGATTCATAGAACGTTAGGACAAAGGAAGCGTATATTTTTGGACGTGTTCGCACGAACGCACACACAGACATGTACAGATATAAGCACACATTCGCGCAATTATTGACATAGATTTACAAACACATGCAAAAGTGTTTGTGTATGTTGGTGGTGACACGTGACCATGCATTAAAAAATAGCCTAACTATCTCGGCTCTTATCACTATCATCAGCTATCTCTCGTTATCTATCTATGTGTCTGTCTGTCTCAGGTAATTCGCTTTTCTTTTTTTCTCAGTCCGTTTCTATCTATCTATCTATCTATCTATCTATCTATCTATATATATATATATATATATATATATATATATATATACATATCATAGCATTCATTAATTCTTCTTTTCGTTCTTCTTCCTCCTCATACCGTTCATATATCTATCTATCTATCTATCTATCTATCTATCTATCTATCTTACGTCATTCGCTTTTCTTTTTTCTCAGTCCGTTTCTTTTCTCTCTCTGTATATATATATATATATATATATATATATATATATATATATATATATATATATATATATATATATATATTTGAATAAAAGACAGACCACGTTAAGATTCCATGTAATAAGCTATTTCACCATTACTCCTCTAATATTCTCCAATTGGATGTGAATTTTAAATACCACGAAGGGTAAGTTTAGATTAGTATTTTAATTGAGATTAAAAGATACTACCCCAATGTGGAAAATAAAATTATTTAAATGGGAACAACTGTTGATAATTGGGTACATAAAAACAACCACGAGTTTACTTAATGAACAAAAATCAAACGAATAAATGTCAACCTAACAAGCAATAAGATAAAAGTTTTAGTGGAATAAAAAAGATTACTAAATATAAATTGGATTGCTCTTTCAATGTTCTGTCTATGGATTTTTCCAATCGACTGTTTAATAGTAAATACCCAAAACTCCACCGAATTTCAAATTAATTTCTTCGTAGATTGTTTTAAAATTTAGATATTTATTAAACCTTAACCTCCCAAATATGCACGTTAAAGTAACGCGAACTGACTGCGTCTAAGAATTTGAATGAAACCTGTCGTGTAATTTATTGGGGTTGTTGTAACGTCTTCCTTTAATGTAGTCCTTATCGCTCACCCCTTAACCACCTTTATCTAGAGACGAGACGCGTTAAATTTGAACAACATCCAGCCGACACACTAGGGTTAAAATAGGAAACTAAAATGATACATATGACACACTCATATCCTCTCCCACCTCACTTCCTCACTTCGTTAACTTTGCGTATACTTGATGAGGTCCGTCAAAAACGTGAATTTCTTTTTCATTCTTCATTTCAGCTTTTGGAAGTAAAGTCTGATGATCCAGAACCCTGTTAAAGGGGTTATGGTGAAAGAGCTTATTACATGGAATCTTAACGTGGTCTGTCTTTTATTCAAACATATCTGCTCTGAATTTTACATTGAGCTCTCTGGATATCATCCTCCTCAGGTCTACCCATACGGATTACCTAAATTTGCATAAACTATATATATATATATATATATATATATATATATATATATATATATATATATGTCATATCGTTAATTCTTCTCTTCTTTCTTCTTCCCTTCCTCATACCGTTCATATCTATCTATCTATCTATCTATCTATCTATCTATCTATGTGTCTGTCGGTCTGTCTAATATAATAACTTGGGTACGATTTACATACAATTGCACTGTATGACTCACCCCAGATCAGGCCCGAATTGTTTCGTATTCAGTGTCGTTCTTATACGCCGTGTGCAGGGTTAATCACAGATGATCTCTTAACCGCCGAGTTCAGCTGCATTTCACCACAAATGCTGCTCCCCAGCAGCAATCTCAAGAAAGAAAAGTATTACACAAAGTTATATAAATAGCCAACGCTAGTAAAAGGCGATGGGCAGTTTTTCAGACAACGTAAACATGTGTGTAAATCCCACGTTCAGGATCAGAGGACAAGGAGCTTCCAGACAACCACATTGGCTGGAAATAATTTACGAAATGCACGAGTGAAATCAAATGTAACGTTAAATATGAGACATAATGCCAATGTTTTACCTTCATACGGCACAACATATTACAAATACTTAATTAGATAATCTCGTAACTAGGATTATCTGCCTGAAGGGAAATTTCGGGAACGAAATGAGAAAATAGATATTGTACTGATATTGTCGTTAGCAATTAATATAATTTTCTGCTCATAACACACGCGTACGAAGACAAAGACGCGTGTTATTGGATTACTAAATACGTGTTATATTTCTTAGGTGAAAATGTTCGACATCGCCCAACATCTTGGACTGAACATGGTATTGATGCTAAAAGTGTCACTTACCATTCTATGTTGATTTTTATAGTCGCAATCTATCTACCTGTCTAAATATATATAGATATAAAATGCGAGATGGTAATATACAAACTTATATTTGATATGAAAAAATAATTTAAAATAATTTAAATAATTCTATTACATTTACTTGTTTTAAAAAGAAATATAGTTTATTAGTAATTAAGAGTAAATATATTTTAAAATTGTAGTTAAATAAAACTTATTTTAACGCAAACAGCCCTACAAAGAATTTTTAATTATACAAGTCCGAAAAAAATGCCGAAAACTTTATGCCGTTAAAAAAAAAAATAAAAAATATTGACATTCGTTTAACGGATGTCAGAATTCGTTGAAAAATCCACCCCTAACCTCCCTAAACTTAACCTCTTTTTCCAACGTAACTCATAATTGATACAACAATAGTTAATAAAAATGAACACGCTACCGACCCTGTCTGAATGATTGGATTTCTCTGTATCCTTGGAAACAGGAAATTATGAATTTATATGAGTGTTTAAAACTTAGTTAATTTAAAAATAAGTTATTCCAATATTCGCTTGAAGATGAAACAGAAGTAATACTTTAAATTTAATTATATAATTAAATTTGAAGTTTTTAGTTTCAGTTTTTAAAACATGGTTATTACTGTGTAGCGAAAAACATATTTTAAATCAGTTAATTTATAATACATACATATATATATATATATGTGTGTGTGTGTGTGTGTGTGTGTGTGTGTGTGTGTGTATATATCAAGGGCCTTGTTGGACGGTCATGGTTCAGGTAACCTCTCAGCTGTCAATGTACCTCATACTAACTTTAATAGAGTTGTCCTGACTAGAGTTAACTGGCGATATGTCTGCCAGTGTGATATCAAATATTTAAAAGAAATCAATCGTATTGATCGACAAAGAGACGAAGGACAAGGCCCAAAAGCGTCAGGAAATGTTCCTGTTTCTACGTCACGAGAGCCTCGTTGTTGCACAATATATGAACTTGTATGGAGGTTACTGGATGGGACTAAAGTGTCGCATACGACACAGAGATAAAAACTTCGTGAGGTTGTCGTATCCCCATATGTTGAAATCGATGGGGGATATGTCCATATATATATATATATATATATATATATATATATATATATATATATATATATATATATATATATATATATATATATATATTGTGGGTGTTTGAGCTGAATAATGTTTATTATAAACAGAGCATTTACTTAAAAGTTTTTATCTATATAAATAAAGTATAACAATAATTCTATTAAAATAATTGTCGGACTTAGTCCATTTTATAATATATGATGTCATTTGATTACGTTAAGATACGCTTCGGGTAGATATGAAGGTTCGAAGGAAATCATGGAAAATTTGTAGTTTAAAAACAATAATTCAATCTTGCTAACCAGATGCTTCCGCTGTGGATAATGTTATAGCACGCCATGGCATATGATGGTTCTGTGTAGGATAAAGGTTCGATACCTGTCGGAGGACATATATATTCTATGAAAATGTTTAGACATTCAGGCCAGTAAATGTTAAATGAAGGGATCAAACAGGTGAAATCTGAAGTGGCAAGGTCTGGGCTGTAAGTGGGGGGTGAGGGAGCAGTTCCCAGCGCAGCTCATTGATGGTCTGCACCGTTTGGGCTGCTGTGTGAGGCCTTGCGTTGTCATGATGCAAGATGACTCCTTCTGACTGATGACCCCTGCGATTGTTCTTTGTCTTTCTTGACCTGCCTCAGCATTTCACAGTAGTTCTTCTGTCAGACTGAATGAGGTCATTGACTCGATCACCTCAAGAGACCTCACTTCTGTAGGCTGGGAGGCCTACAGAAGTGAGGTCTCCTGAGGCCTGTCTTCATCCTCAACACTGCTCCGTCCTTCTTTAAACAATTTAGCCCACTTGTAGACATTTTTTTGGTTGAAACATGTGGCACCATACACAGTTGACATTCTCCTATGAATTTCAACTGGTTTGCACCCTTCAGCAACCAAAAACGGAACCGTCATATAGCCTGACGTTGTATGTCAATTTATGCCTATGCATATATATATATATATATATATATATATATATATATATATATTTTAGTACAAAATAATATCCAAAATTACCTCATATGGGGAACAGAATTATTTCAACCGACGAAAACATTGTCAGTCTTATTCAACCCCGGTATATAGACTGAGTTCGTGCCGGAATTAGAGATTAAAACTGTGTCAGCTGCTCTAAAAAAATAACCCGGCATAATGTTTCAGTCAGACGAAAGGTATCTGTCTTAATGGGAAGAGGTTTTATAAAACTAAACTCGGATATTAACTTTATATATATATATATATATATATATATATATATATATATATATATATATATATATATATATATATATATTTAAAAACATTAAATTATATATAAAAGGTTAAGTCTAAAACTGCAAAAATCCTATTTAAGAAATACTTTTTTAAAAGACAATTTATATTTAAAAATAAGTCATATTTAAAAAAAACATATTTAAAAGTAAGTTATATTTAAAAATAATTTAAATTTAAAATAATCAAAAATAAATCATATTTGGATGATTCATATTAAAATTAAGTAAATTATATTTAAGAAATATATTTAATATAAAATGAATAGGTTATATTAAAGAATAAAAATATTTAGAAATAAAAATGATGATTACACTTGAATATTTGAAGATTATAGTTATTAGGGAAGCATGTAAAAGGACAATGTTCCACAGACGTTAAGTGCGAGAGAAGAAGCTGTTGAAGTAGAAGAGACGGTTACATTTAAGCGTTTCGACAATGAAAGAGTGGGACCGAAATGCCAACCTAGTATTACGCTTAAATTCATGCAGTCTTGGAAAATAGCACGTCGGAGAAATTGTCGAGGACCTCGAGACGTACAGTGGGGGGGGGGAGAGCACCAGACCATATATGGCAGCAGTACTTCATACAGGAACGGATGGTTGATTTATAGATTTGAAGGATGCTCTCAGGCGACAAAAATCTTTCTGGCCCGACACAGAGAAGCAACTTTATTTGCGGTAGATGAAGCTCTTTATTCAACGTATCTGTTTCACTTCAGGTTTTTTCGTGGAGTTGGGCATCAGGGAGGGTTCTCTGTGGTGGGTAACATTGTACCAAAATTTTGACATGAGACGCACAGAAGTCAAGACCCCATTCACGTCCACGCACAAAAAGCTACCACGTTAAACAGCTACAAAGAGACCGCCCCTAACAAAGGTGACGCAGTTCACAGTAAGAACTAAATTCTAACTAAATTTTTTTGTATACAACAATGTCCTTCTTTCTCAGATTCTGAAATTACACATTGAATCTAAAGACTGTCAAGGAATAATCAGACCTTCCAAAGTTTATACAAAAAATATTGAGCTTTGGGAACTTTTGCAGTAAAAAGATTTTGGATGTAAATATGTACCATTTATGAGAATAAAATATGGATACCGTTCCTGTTCAATTATTAATGTTATCAACGAAATATTTAAATTACAAAATTGTTCTTGGATTAAACGAAAATTACTTACACTGTAATGTATATTACTTATAATACATTTCTTATTGCTGTCAACTCTGACGCCACTGGTGCACTAATAATAATAATAATAGTTTATGGTCATTGTTATCTCCTGAGGTCTGCATTAAATAACAGAATTTAAGCCCAGTTTAGAATTATTCTCTGATCTGAAGCGAAATATTTAAAATGTTATTGACGCTCCTACGAGTTGAAAAATAATGTTAAAACAATGCTTCATCTTCAAAGATAGCAAAAATTTTCTTCTTTAAAAACGGAGACTTTAACATCTAATCGATAAAATTAATCATTTTCTCCGGCTTTTTGAACTTGATAGCGCTCCGACGATATCCCAAATTCTCATTGCTGGAATATATGATATTATTAAAGAAGTTCTAAATGGAATATATTTCCTTGGGGAATGAAACGCAAACAAACTTTCCGTAATCAACTAAAACTTTCGATTATGTTCTGTTCGTGCCATACGAGTGGCACCATCTTCTTATCTTTAGAAATCGAATGATTTGAAATATAAACATTTTTCTCACTGGAAATGTGTTTGCAAGAAATAAGCCCTGACCGCAAGTATAGGTGCTGGAATTACTAGCGAAACCAAAGAGGAAATTTTATAGAAATAAATATATGCATATCTATCTATCTATCTATCTATCTATCTATCTATCTATCTATCTATCTAATCCGTTCATATCTATCTTTCTATCTATCTAATCCGTTCATATCTATCTATCTATCTATCTATCTATCTATCTATCTATCTATCTATCTAAGTGTATTCATATCTATCTATCAATCTATCTATCTAATTCCATATCTAAGTGTAAATATCTATCTATCTATCTATCTATCTATCTATCTATCTATCTATCTATCTAAGTCTGTTCATATCTATCTATCTCAGTCTGTTCATATCTATCTAATCCGTTCATATCTATCTATCTATCTATCTATCTATCTATCTATCTCATCCGTTCATATCTATCTATCTATCTATCTATCTCTCTATCTATCTATTTATCTATCTAAGTCTGTTCATATCTATCTATCTCTCTATCTATCAATCTTTTTATCTATCTAAGTCTGTTCATATCTATCTATCTATCTATCTATCTATCTATCTATCTATCTATCTATTGGGGACAAATGTATGACAAAGGGTAAAATGTTTTCTTGTGACACGTTTCGTTCTTCCTCAGGATTAAACGTGCGCACGAAAGAGGGATGCTGGGAATTTTGAATTTATTTTTTTGTGGTTTTTGTTTTTTATCTAGCCGATTTCATTTAGAATTGTTTTCTTATTTTTCCTTCCGTCACTTTCTTAGAAGATATACCACTCTGTGATAATAAAAGATCTGCCAGGTGTCGGGAAATGATTTAGCGACCCGGGCACAAATTTACACTAGATGACCTTACGATCAAGACACTCTCTAGACATTTTTGTCGTAGTGCAGACGCTTCCTCAGGCACATCTGTGTTTATTCAACAAAATTAGCGGTCATATATGGTTTATAATGCAACCATGCTGAACAGACCTTAGTTACAGTTTCTGGGGGAGAGCGTGTTATCTAGCATGATCAACATTCTGTACAAAGCCAGCCCGCTCAAGCCCTCGTCCACGATGACTTGCCTCCGAGCAGAGTTATCGATGGCAATATATATATATATATATATATATATATATATATATATATATATATGTAAGTGAACAAGAGGTAATCACCAATTTTGATTGTATGTTTCATCCTTAAACGCAATCTTCTATTGCTGCTAAATGTCTACTTTTATATTCTATATTTACGCACGCCTTAACTCTTATTTTGAGCACTTTTACGCATAAGTATAGCATACTTTAAAATATATTTATTTATATATATATATATATATATATATATATATATATATATATATATATATATATATATAAGTATAAAATCTTACACAATGATTTCTGGTGGTAATAAAAGAGATACAATTTATGCTATTAATAATAAATATATACACTTCAGTTACTGATTGAAAACCGACCCATGTAAATTTAAATATTAATATTTAAATTTTGCAACGGTTATTTTTCAATCAATTCCCGAAGATGGCTGAGTACATGAAACCCAGATTTGTACCAATCTGGGAGGAAAAAATGTCTATTTATTATTGATAATATTTAATCATTTGAACACTTTTTACACTTTATGTTTCCAGAAAAGAATATATTTTTATAAATACCAGAAGAATTGAACAGGAAGCTTAATCGCAGTACCTTTTCATCCTCCGTTAATAAAACTTGTATAAAAAGGGGGTTGCTGCTTAAATACACACGTATACATACATATATAAATATGACCCGGAAATTTCTGTTTCGGGTCTTAAAATTTTTCTCTCCAATCTTCAAGGCAATGTTTGGTAACTTTTAATGAAAATTATTTACTTTTGAAAACAGAAAACAATACGTTTGCTTATTAAAGAGTGAAGTAGGCGAGAGGATTCCAATTTTAAAATCTTATGGGTGTGTCTCTTTTGACTAATCAAAAGACAGGTCAAAGCTAAGAATTGTTACAAATATACGTTAAATGTTGGCTGCTTTGTTGTATTCATACATGTCTCAGGGAGATATAATATTAAGAAATGACATCATACTTGCCGTTAAAAATATACATTTAAGTTACGAAGAAACCATTTCAAAGATATGTATATCGCTAAGAATGGGTTAATTTTTGTTTTTTATTAAATTATTTTTTATATATTTTAGAACAATCTTAAAGGGGTATCTGTTTAAATTATTTTATATATAATTTTGAACCTAAAATACAATACTCATTTTATTCAATACAAGGTAATATTAAAATTTTTTAAAAATCAAGAAATTAAATCAATATTACATTAACTATTAAATATAATAAAATAATGGATGTATAATTGAAATACATAGATTTTTTATGAAAAATCCATTAAATATATTCTAACGTAAACATTTTACAATTCCTAAATATTACAGTTAGTTCCTTACATTGATTTAATAGATCATTATTTTGAGGAAACGTAATAATACGTAGCTTTTCAAACAGACACTGGAGGAATGGGTCATTTAAGGATTTACAAATTCTCGTTTTTTTAATATTTTCAATTTTACTGTTGGGGCCTTATTGATTTCTTTTAAATGCCAAAAATATTTAGTTAGTGATGTTCGGTTACGGTACGTATTGTTGTTAAAGTAAGAAATATGTTGGTACTATCTTAATTTAAAAGAGATTTTTGCGCTTCCAATATAAAATTTCTGAACATCTGAGTTTTCAGTCAATTAAATAGTGCATTGATAAATTATAGATTAAGTAAGACATTTACTTTTCAATGGACACTATATGGGATTTCTAAAATTAGATATTTTATTTTCAAAATTATTGATTAACGTTCTGGAATTACTATTATTGTAATTTAGATTTAAATGTTTATTTCGAATTTTATGATTATGTTTTTATAACTTTTTCTAAATTATCAGTACAACTATAACTTAATTTTAGCGTATTTTTATTGAAAGTGGTGCAATGGATAAATTGTCACTATATATTTTAATTTCGCGGAGGCGCGTTATTTGTTTTGTTTTTTTTTATTTTGTGGACTGCACATTATAGTAGGTTAGTTGGGAAACGTCTGTGAGAAAACGAGAACCATGACGCAGTTCATTCTGACAGAAATTTGGAAACGGCATGGTGTAGTGCTTGATTTAATGCAAACATTCCAGAGTGATTGGGTGTCAATCTGAGGACAGTCCTGAGAATTCGAAATGAGTTGGATGAGTCTAATGGTAAGTACGAAGATGTTTGGAGTGATCACTAGTGATGGCGACGTTATTCCTCTATTCATCGTCCCACAGGACTTCACACTGAACACGATGTTGATTATTATGATTGGGGTGCAGTTGAGTGAGAGACCAATAATTATCTCTGTAACACCAAAGATGAACTTAAGGTAAGTATTATGGCAGCATTCGTCAACTTAAACAAGGACAACGTCCAGAAGAGATTCAGGAGATTCCGAAGACGTCTGAAAGGCCGTGGTTGAAGCCAATGGAGATTTTATTGAATAAATTTACTCTTTAGCATTTCAAGATAGTTTTGAATAATTTTGATAAATATATTTGTTAAAATTATATGTCAGGGTCATTTTCATTTTTGCGTAATTTAGACGACAGTTTATTCATCGTACCCTGTATATATGGTATTTCAGTAACTACCAAAGATATATTCGAGTTTCATAACTTTATAACTTTCATTCTTCTTTATAATGTCTTCAGTAATGAATGAACAATTTCGATTCGAGAGCGTAAGACTTTATAGCAGTGTATTGTAATCGATGAAGATATATATTTAAACTAATCACGGATTTTAATTCCCTCGTGTTTCATTTCTCAAGAATCAGCCGTCGGATTGGAGACATTCGATCAGCAAGTACAACTTTCCCCAGATTCTGACGTGATGTCTGTCCCTAATCTTTCCGAAGAATTCTCTACTTCCAATCAAGAATATTCATGAGCTCCACTGCATTTTTCGTAATCATCTCGGAAATGCAAAGATCGGAATTTGAAAGCGAATATGTCCCATGAGTTTCATTCATATATATATATATATATATATATATATATATATATATATATATATATATATAATTCAAAAAGGCAGTTCGGGCGATTTTACCATTAGCACTGTGATTCTGTATTCAGACACACAAGGGATTTGACACATCCGCTGAGGCAAACCATCCTTAACCCGTTCATATTTAAATATTAAAAAAGCAGTTTCACTCGTGCTGTTTCTTCCCACGGACGAACTTTGTGGAACCGTCTCCCAAAAGGCGTCCCTGCCTAACCACTATACTCTTAAGCTATTATAGTCTTGGGTTAAATTTCACCTTTAACTCTTGTTTTTACCGCTCATATAACAACATCTTTCAGTAACCCTCTACGTTGAGTTGCTCTTGTGCCTAGTATCGTGTGTAAATTGTTTAAAAAATCATTACATATTTAGTTGCATTGGTTTAACTACGTTAGAATGAAGAGAAGCCATCGACTCTGAAAGTCCCTCATACGGATTACTATTCTCTAGCCGGAAAATAAAATTACGACACTGCAACGAGAAATGTCGAGTTTGAACTCACGTACAGTATGCTAGGAGCCGCCTAAAGTTAGATCCTCGGGAAGTGGAGTCGTAGAGCCAATACCAGCTTAGTTTATTGCTTTCACTTTCATATCTCATTCTCATGGATTATATAGTAGGGTAGACTACGTCACCTAGCCTTGATTGTTTACCGGTCTATGATAAGGATAACTCTGAATTCAAAACTGTGAGACTGGAAATAGAATCTTCTCCAGTATAATTCCCAAAAATTAATAGCGATTCGCTGGAAATGAAAAAGGAATCTGTGGAGAGCCATAATCACCTACGTCCTGAATGGACATCGTATTAAAACAATAACTGTAGAAAATATTGTAGATAAATTTCAATGTTCGGAGACCTTCAGACATCTTAAATCTCATAGTAGTGAGTTTCTTCGACGGTGAGTCAGGTTGCGGTAAAGTGATTTGAAAGAGTTCAATGCTTGTAGGTGTCGTAGCAGACAACTACTCATATTTTTCTCTAAATAGAGTCGTTTGAAGAATGCTGGTTTGAGCCATCAAAAGAACAGATGGTCACTTTATGTTCTATGGTGCTTCGATATTCGCAGTGTCAAATGAACTACACTTGTTCATCATTTTCCCAACGAATAAAGAATACAGACTCTCGATAAGATCAACAATTTTTAAAGCCAATATTGAAAGACAACACGATGTTCACATCCTATTAGACTAAAATACAGTCTCAGGCATGTCGATTTGCAAATGAACGTGGGATTTATAATGGCTTGCCTTTCGTATCCGAGCAGGATTGCCTAATAGGGCAGATAATGTTTAGGTGCATTTGTGTTTGTTCAAAACCCACACAGCCCACCTGTGGTTTTTACTGCAAATTTAGTTACAGTTTCTGGGAGAGATCGGTTTATCGGGCAAGATCAACAGGCTGGACAAGAGCAATGTGCTCAATCTCTCGGCCACGATGACTTGTGGCTTCGTGATTCCAAAATCATTGACATTGATATGGTTTTCAGAGTTGCCGCCGTCTGAGATCATGCCTTCCCAGGCACATAACATCAAGAAGCCCTCTTCCAGCCAAATCGGCCTTGGTTTCATTCTCTCTCTCTCTCTCTCTCTCTCTCTCTTTCACTCCCTCTCTTTCACTCTCTCTCTCTAGCTATATATATATATATATATATATATATATATACACACACACAAACACACACACAAATATATATATATATATATATATATATATATATATATATATATATATATATATATATATATATATATATATATATATATATATGGGTAATAATCCGTTGGTATATTATCCAAGTGAATCCTATTAATGCAATATAAAATATTAAATATTAAAACCGATTCCCACATAGAGCTCAATATTTTAATTAAACTGAGCAACATATTAAAAAAAAATAGGAATTAAGATTACATTAGGTTAATAATCATTTTCACCTTGTAAATTGAAAAAAAAAATTTACAAGGATTTTTCAAACCAGTCAATGGATGATAAATTATTGAAGCAAATGGCCGGACAGATGAAGACAGAAGTGAAGAAAAAGGGAGAAAAGAGAGCAAATAAAAACAAGGAAGTAGTGTAAGTTTGGATATAAGGGTGTTGGTCAGAGGAGAAAGAAAGATAAAATGAGGGAGAGAAAAGAAAGAAGAAATGACCTATTTATTTTCTACAGAGTAGCAACCAGAAGGTAGTTCAGGCATAAAGAAAAACTTGTTAAGCAAAAACAATGATATTATATTAAATAAAGAGATAAACGAATTTCCATGAAAGACAGATAATTCAGAATTAAAGATATATTAAAACAAACAATATATTAGAATAAACAAAGTCAAACCTAAAATAGAATGTTGCTGCCATATCTCTGCTGAAACTGTCCAGTTCTCTATTGCCTGTGTTGATGGAGTCGCAAAGCGTCTACTTGGTCTTGTTTGTAATAGATTATTTTGAATCCCACAATACCCTTCCCACAGACGAAAAAGTCAGGAGCCTCTCTCTAATCTATCGCTATTTCCACGGCATATGTTCTGGCGAGATACATTCCTCGGTCACAGCAGCTCTGACCTTTTCAACTGGGACCAGCCATTCCAAGTACACAAACAGGAATCAGCTCTATTCCCTTCGTATTCGATTCGTAACTTTCTAAGAATTGCTGCATTGTTGGACGGACTCCTGGTAGGATGTTTTCTCAATCATTTGAATCTTGACCTCTGAAACGTTATCTTTCCTGCCTGTCTAACCCCATGAACTTCTCTGCTTATCTCTTCTCACGAACATACAACCACGCAGTATACGTCTACCTGGAGTGGCTCTTTGGAATTATATTGATAGAACATAATTAAAAAATACACTTCGGATAACGTTTAAATCCTGACCCCAATAAAGCAATGACTCCAGGAATAGAACATATAACTAATATGCATTAAATTCTTACAAAATCTGTCTCCAATCATAAAAAGAAATTTATGTATCTACTCATGAGAAAAATTAAGAAGGCTATTTGAAAACTAAGAAATAATAAGGCATCGTTTGTCGTTGAAGCTGAACTTTTGAAAATAGCTTACTTTCTTCTTGAATTCATTATCATGTTTCTCAATTTTACGAAAGAAGTCTTCAATCAGATAGGCATCTGATAAAAGTGGGGTTTAGCAAGCATTAATGTTCTATGGAAAGAAAATGGTAGTCTTTCAGACTCTCACACATGCAAAGTGAAGTCAATTGAATTCCTCATGGTGAAAGTATTAATGAACATTCGATTAAGCTCACGTTGTTTCTGAAACTCAACTCTTCACAAGCCAATTAGTCTTTCGTTTTGTTAAGTGGCACACTGATGCAGTATATGCCATCAAACAACTGCCGAAAAAAAAAGCATGCTTATCAAACATAAGACTTTAGACATGAAAGATCAATCTGACAGAAGACTGACAACATAAATATAATCTTCCATTTCTCATCCATCAGAAACTGTGTTCCACGCTCTGAAATCATGAAATGACTTCAGCTGATAAAGGAACTGCATTAATCAACAAAGTCTTAATTTTCTGAGGAAAACCCAAAGATAGAATAATTTCAAACTTATAATTTCAAACTTCCTTAGGAGTACCACAAGGATGACATAAGAGGTTAAATAAGTTTAATATTTTCCTATTGTATACCCTGCGCATGTAAAAGCACAGATTGGAAAAAAAATGAGACTTAAATATTTAGACATTCTGTTGATTGATTGATTGATTTTGTTTAGCGGCATATCAATATATCTATGGGTTATTTAATGCCTAAATATAAATATTTTGGTCATAATTTTATGACTTCAACTAAATATATTAAAAACGCAATTCTATGAAATCGATTACAGATAAATTTATTCCTGGTCATTTTGCTTTAAAAATGTATTGCTGGTATTTTTACTATAAAGAAATATTTTTATACATTCATATACTTTTGTTTCTGTCTGGGGTTAACTAGTTTCCCATAGCCGGGGCCCTAACAGATGCTACCACCTCGAGTAGACCTTAGAACAACAGTAAAAAAAAAGAGGTCGTTGCACGCTCCTCAAAACCTAAACATTCCGTAATACATGCCATGCGTATCTGCTACTAGAAAGCATTGTCTTTTTTTACCCTCAAGATGTTTGTTTATTAATGATGGAGGAGATAGGCTAATGAAAGAATTGTTCAGAGTTGGTACAAGAATGAGCTAGAAAAAGAAATTACATTCTTTAACAAATGTTCCAAGAATTAGGACTTAAGATGAAGCTAATATTATGACCTAGACTTGGAAAGATTGATGGAATGGAGAATACATTGAATCATTCACAAAACCTTAAGACGTGGAATTAATCAAATCTAAACACATCAAATAGGCGTATAAATTAGGTATAAACATTTTAGTATATGACATAAGGAAAGTCACATCAGTTTCCTGTAGGATTAGTATTTTCCAAAAACATAACATGCTTCTAAAACAAAAATATTAAACGAAGAACTCGGGTTATACTATTTACATTATTCTGACTATTGTCCTAATCATTGTCAGCATATTTATTACAACGTTTCAGCCGTTGTACGCTCCGGCTTTCTTCAAGTGGTTGGAATGCCGACCTGAACCATTACTCACAGGGGTAGACTGTTCTAGGTCCACGTGCCATGTTTAATGGATGTCTGTTATCAGTTATCTCCTGTTAATTCCCCTCTCCAAGTTCTCCACTGCCGATATTGAACTCATACTCTTGGATCAGGTCACTGGATCTAACTACCACCTTTATCCACTGTGCTATGTGTCCTTGAGGACATCGGTGTATGTATTCTTGCGTTTTATAAACCTAATGTCATCAGCAACCATTTTTACAAGTGTTCATATTGCGGTTTTTGCTGTTATCGTTTCATTTTTTTTTTTTTTGCAATTTTTTGTTGTTATTCTGGCACTCCTTATTACTGGTTCCTATATTGTATTCATTTCTATGCTTGGTCGGCTCAGGAGATTTTTGTGGCATAGCATATGTGATGATTCCTTAAGTTTACGAATTTCCCAATGGTGTTCTTTGTCTATGATCTCAACCTTAAAAACAGCTTCAAGTGAATGGCTACATTATGTATTAATGAATAAAATCCTTCAGCCTAAAAATGGGCGCAGCTATGTCAGGAAAAACTCTACCAAATAATAAAAGCATTATTTGAAGATTTCAAATAGCAACAAGAATTAAAATGGATGAAACTAGGAAGGGAAATCATAATAAAATTGAAAGTCTAACTTTCTAAACTAGCATAAAAAAGATTACGAAGAATGCTCACATCTGTATTAGAAAAGGGGATACTTATTAATGGACTTGAGAAGATAATTTCCTGAAAAGATAGTTGAAGAGATAGAAATGATGAATTTCATTTGAGAGTAATGAAACGTTGTCTGTCAGTCAATAAATGACGAACGATTCCAGCATAGAAGCGGCCATTTACATAATTACAACTTAATTTTTCAGTCAGTTACTTTATATATGAAGAGAATGTTTGACATAATTTGACAATATGAATATAAAATAGCGTTTCTAAATTTTTCTAATTGCTACGATATTTTGTTTGTTGTTAAGATTTACTGCATAAAATGCACAATTGTGGAACAAGGCCGAAAAGGACTGAATGGGTTGAGGCTGGTCATCACTTACTATCTTATACTTAGCTAATCCGATTCACGACCCATCATTCGTTACAATTGACACATTCTCCACAAAAAAGTTAATTCTCCATATACCATAATACCACATACTCTCAAGGGGGTGGGCCTAAAAAATGCACCCCATAGCATAAAAATTTCATTTCATGATTATAAAATACTATACATAAAAAATTTGTATTTGATATAAAATGAGAGGGAAGCGGATGAACCCCAAAAAAACAAACTAAATTATCAAAACAAACAAATTAAAGATAATTATTTTTTATTTGTTGTTTATAGATACTTTGTTGCAATAAATTCATTTCGTTTTTCTCTTGAAAAAGTCCACATTGGATGAAACGCGTCGACTAAAACTACAGTTTTCCTATTGTCTATTTTCCTTCGTCATATTATCTTTTTCTACGGATTAATTCTGAGAAGATTTTATACACACACACACATATGTCTGCGTGCGTGTGTGTTCGTGTGTGTGTTTATTGATGTAATAGGACAGAACAGTTTGATTATTGAACCAAAGTTATTTAGTATCGATGGTTTTATTAAAAAGACCATTGTTAGATACAGAAGTAGAACTTAAATTATAATTGTTTTAAAAAAAATAAATTTCCATCACGACACAAAAAATTATTCTGTTTCGAAACTTGACTCAAGTCCTAAAATAAAATTTCAATATTAAACTTAAAATCTAGAGTTATTCTAAACATCGTTTGAGAATTAAATTGTACTGTAAAATTTGAGTTTAATATTGAAATTATACTTTAGGATTTGAGTCAAGTTTAAAAACAGTAATTTCTGTGTCGCGATGGAATCATAATTTTTAAATATATATATATATATATATATATATATTACATGAATCATTCACACAAAAACCAGATGTAGAAGTTAATGATATAAATGGCGAGAATACATCTTCGCAAACAATTTTAATAAAGTACGCTACCCCGAACCTGTATATTAATGTT